TATATATATTTTTTTTTTTTTTTTTTCCGGAATTTTCTTTTTCCGGAATTTTCAGAAAAGTCCACTTTCATCTCTGAATGATGACCCCCACCCCCAAGCAGAATCGTGACTTGCTTACTTTTATCCCTTGCAATTTTACAACTTGTGTCTTCTTCATGTTTATCCTCACATAATTTTGACTTTTTTTGCATGTAACCTTTGGACTCAGTTCTTTTTCATCCTGTCCTTTTTTTCTCTTAATATCATGAATTTAATCTTCTAATAGTATGACATTATTCTCATCATAGTATGATTTTTATTTTATGATATCATGACTTTCTCATGGTAAGATTATGACTTCGATCTCTTGATGTAATTTTTTTTTCACGAAATAACGTATATCATATAACTTTGACTAAAATGTCCTCATAATACACATTTCTTTGTAAAAGTACATGTTTAATGTCCTGATATTGGGATTTAATTATTCTATTATTCATCACCAGGCCAGCTGATATCCAAACAGCTTTATTTTAAAGAAAAGATGAGTGGCTCTAATTTTCTTTTGATACGACGACACCAATTTTCATGTGTGTACATTAAAGCTTGAGGTGCTATCAAGCCTTTTTTTTTCCCAATGCATTTTTGATTGATTTTTTTGTTACCTGAGCCCCCCTCTCTCTCTCTTACTCTTTGCCAACATCTTTCTCTTGATGTCTTGCCGTTTTATGCACAAATCAGCGTTGCTTTCGAATGAGCACATTAAACGCCTCCTTTCCAAGTGGTCTGATTTGATTACCTTTGTTGAGGTTGCCAGGGGCCGCATGGCCGCCGTCTCGCCGCTCTCCCGGTAGCGAGTGGAGAGGTTGAGGATGGCAGCTGTGGCGGCGCTTGGGGGGCCGCCGTCTTCTTGCTTAAAGTGACTAGGTGGTGGGCTGTGCCGGCCGGAGGTCGGCAAGCGGCCGCCTGGAGCCGCCAGGAAGCCAGGATGATACTGCTGAGGTGCTTAAATAAATAAATAAAGGAATAAATAAAGGAATAAATGGCGAGAATGGACGGTGAATAATTCAGTCGCGGGGGACAGCAGGTGTTCCAAGCAAATGTAGTAATAAGATGCTGGATGACAAACCATCAAAAAGGGCTCATGTGGCGTTATTAACGAGCACTTCCAACCATTCACCATATTGTGTTCAATGCAGGCATTGGTTGAACAATATCTTCTTGAATGTGGTTGTGGTGTACGCCAGTTTTGTTATATGCCCGACTTTATTAATGAAATATGGCGACTCATTTCTTGAAATATTTCTAACGACAATTTTTTCGTCATGCATGTGCTACGTTATACTCATGAAAGTTACAAAGCCATTCAAGCAATCGTGTAACTTCAGCATCATACAACGAAAGAGCATTTTCTTGGACTTCGTTGTCGCGGAGTTACCACATTTTTTTTTACTTTGCGACATTGCGATGTGTTCAGTTCCGCTAAAAATGTGGATTCATTTCTCATGTTCATGATTTTATCCTTGTAAATTAATCGTAATCGTAACTTCATCTCCTCACTGTGATATTTTTTCTAATAATATTGTGACTCTTTTTACTTTTAGGACTTTATTCTCATCCAGTTACAAATTTTTCCTCCTAAAAATACAACTTTGTACCTCATTGCAATTTGTTTCTCATAAATTCTTACTTTTCATGCAAAGTGACATCATTACGACATTCACTTTACACGAGGCAAGAACTAAAGTAGAGTGTGGGTTTATTTTTAGAGGTTGTGGACAGTGATCGTTCAGCCCATTCATTGACTATGTCTGTCGTAAGTCAACTGAGACTCTCCATGGTTTGCTTTTTAGTGACAGGTTACGTTATGAATATAGTTAAGTATTATTGTAAAACACAAAATGCTCAGTCACTCATGAAAACTAGTAGCAGATTCAGAGGTCATTTTTGTGGGGTTGGGGGTTAAACTAATAATCCTCCAAAAATGCTGTACTGTTTATCTTTTAACCTTCTTATGAGCTTGATAATACAACAAGACTGTTACAAAGAATGCGCCTTTAAAAAAAAAAACAAACCAAAAAGAATAGCAAACGTGAGTGTGCTCGCGATTCTGAATACAGACTGGTGGATTCAGCTCATGTATTGAGTCGTATTCGTGTTGTGCAGGCGCACCCAATGAAGTGTGGCGCATTTGCTTTAGTGAGTCAACGTACAGTCGGGATAGCGTGAGACTTCCACGTCGTGGCTGACGCCATTGAGCGGCTGCTTTCCGAAGACCTGCGCGTCGAAGCTGGCGTAGTCAAAGCGGATCCTGCTGTACTTGTCCATGTCCTTGGCCAGACTGCTCTGCAGGGCGGCCATCGGATGAGCCAGGCGGTAATTCAGCTGGCTCAGGTCGAACTTCTTGACCAGTCCCACGACCCTGCGAGCAGACACAAAATGAAGGAGGGTTGAGGCTCACTTCACTCTTACAGTTAAGTGTTGTTTTCGAAAGCACTTGGGATGTTTTTTTGTCGACAGTCTCAGAATTGGTGTTATCAACATAGCAGTTAGTTATTAGGGCTTGAGTAACCTCAGAAAAATAATGACAAAATTTTCCCATGACATCCTGCGAACTGTCTTTCATTTTCCATTCTAAAATGATTACTTTACTCATTAGATTCAAACTTCTTTCTCAATATTACAACTTGAATTTCACAAAACATTTCATTTCGTTTTTTTTGTCAAGAAAATTCAGATTTTTTGGACAAAATCTGACTTTTCCCCTCATGTCTCTTGCACTATTGGAACTTATTCTCATAAAATAGTTGCTTTTTTCCCCTCATAATATTTTCATAATTTCATGAATTTATCCTGAAAATGACACCATTACTCCCATTATAATGCAACTTTATTCTCACCAGATTAACTTAAATTGCAGAAATCACGTAAAATTCCATGGAAATTCTGATTTTGGTCTTGTAATATGACAACTTTAGGCTTGTAAAATATTTATTTGTGAGTAAAATCCAGATTTTAATGTTGTCCAAATTTTGACCCCTTTTTTTCCTCATAAATTTACAAACTAGTTCTGCTAATATCACAACTTTATCCTCATGAAATTTCTCCTTCAAAAACAGCAATCTTATTCACACAAGTACACAACTTTATCCTCATGAAATTTCTCCTTCAAAAATAGCAACCTTATGTCACAGGTGTCAAACCCAAGGCCCGGGGCCTAGATCTGCCCCACCACATCATTCTATGTGGCCTGCGAAAGCAAATCAATTTCCATGATGCTTGCTAAAATCACTACCATAATTTAAAATTCTCATATGTAATAAATAAGAGACACATTTTAATCATTTTCTTGTAACCACAACCCTCATTACAGCGACTTAAACAATAGTTGAATAAACCGTTATTTTTGACTTTTTTTATTTGGTTTCAGTCATAACGGCCCTCCAAGGGAAACGGTAACTAAAATGTGGCCCATGACAAAAATGAGTTTGACCCCCCTTTATTATGTGGCTCTAACTTCCCTCTAAATGCACAAGGCTTTATTTTTGTAAACTTTTGTAAAATTACAAACTTCTTCCCGTAATAGTACAGCTTTATGGCATTCAAATTGAGACTTTTTAAAAAGACTTATTTTAGGCTCAACATAGAACAAATTATGTAGAATTCAGACTTGATTTCTTGTAAACATTGCGACTTCATTCTCGTAAATGTTGTTATCCCTCAATCGCGTCCTCCTAAAATTCTGCCTTTATTCCTCTGAATCTAACAACGTTATTCTTGCACCATCGCGACCTTAGTAGTCGAGTTGGCTCAGTTGAAACTTTTTTTGACCAGATCCAACATTAAAGTGAGAGACGGCTGTGGCTTAGATAACCCAATAAAAAGCATTGTTTTGGAAAGTATTTTTAATTTATTAATTTTTTTGTTGTACACATAGTCTGGGATTAGATGCTGTCGATGCGGCAGCCAGGTTGCCAGACTAATTAATATAGCGGCAGTGGGCACCCTGCCCGCGATAAATCCAGCGGGAACAAAGAGTTCTGCTCTTTTATCATTTCTAATAGAGGGGATGGAGCTCGCAACAGACTGCGCGTTCTGTAGGGATCGCTCAATAAAACACAACATGAGTGTTTATCACTTTTTTGCAGAGCTTAACTTGCACAAGAACACCACCCCTCTCACCCCCCTCCACCACTATCTTCCCTCCACCCCCAACTCTTCTCCAGTCCAGAATTTGCGAACGCTAATTATTTCGCAAATCACGTGACGGCTTTAAACGCCGGCTGGCGCGGGCGCGTACCTCGGCGAGCAATCGGGCGTTTGTCTGTTTTTCAGGCTCTCGTCCTGAGGTTTGGAGATTTTCACCGCAGCGGCGATGGGGCAGCCCGACAGACTGGGAAGACAATCAAACACGGTGTAAGCCAATCCCTGATACTCTCATTGCTCTCTGTGGTGTGATATGATTATTTATTCTCATAATGGATGGAGTACAGTATTCTTTTTTTTATTTTATTTTATTTTTTACCTCCGGTGGGTGCTGCGGTTGCTGTTGACATGGCCTCTTCCCGTGCAGCCGGGAGTGGGACACTTTAGGACATTCTCGTGCATGGCCAAGACTGAGCAGACCAGAGAGAGAGAGAGAGAGAGAGAGAGAGAGAGAGAGATCTGAATGTTCGATCATTTAGGGGAACCATACTTGCTGACTTAAACGGTGCTCAAAATGGACCCTGAAAACTTCACAATGAGGCCATTGTGATGTCATCGAGCTCATTGTTTAATGTGCACGAGATAGCTCGAGACCCACGCTCCCCATCCTTAATTGAGCCAAGGCGTCCATCTTCCCTTCGAACAATCTCACAGCATATCACGAAACTAATGAACTACTTGCTTAGTGTGAAACCTGAGCCTCTTTGATTGAACGCAAAGCTGACTTACTCTGTTGTATGAACGGCAAATGTTACACATTCATTCGATGTACTGCCATCTCATGGGAGAGCATTGAATTGCTCTGCCAGTCATTATATGTCACTCGTATAGATAGAAAATAAAATGTTTCTTCACACAATTTCTGTGGAATTGGGTATTCCCCTGGTTGGGAATCACTGCTTTAGAATTTTTTTTCGAGAAATGACCAGGGCCCTCTCAGATGGAGCAATTTAGCTCTTCTTTGGGAACCCCATTTGGGTCGAAATAGACACGAAACACCTCACTAGGCATTCCTGCTAATTTAAAATTGACAAGACTGCTCTGGATTTTGCTAGAAGCTTTCAGGATCCTGTAGAATGATGCAAATGAGCTCCATTGTGGGAACCATATTTGCCACAATGAGGTCAAGGCGACATCTTCTAGCTAATTGTAAATGATTATAATACTATGTATTTTGCTGAAGTTAGCATAATTCTTTAGAATAGTGTGAATTAGAAAATCAGTATTAAGTGATTTATGTGATGCTTCACGTTGAGGTGAGCGTGACATCTTGCATCTACTTATAGGTGATTAGAATGTTGTCAGGAATGACAAGGATTTTTCAGAAAGTTGCTCATTAGCACCTCACTTGGAACAATAATTGGTAACATAAGTGGGTGGGCACTGAATGCATCACGATGGGGTCAGCATGACTTCTTTCAGCTAATTTTGATGTTATAGTGCCGTAGATGCCATAGATATTACCAAGATACTTTAGAATTCCACGGATTAGCTCTCGATTGGAAAACATATTTGCTAACTTAAGTGGATGTTCAAAATCGACTCTGTATGCTTCGCAGTCATTTGAGGATGCCTTCTCCGGGTAACTTTTCGCAGATTAAAACACTCTCGATTTTGCTTTGCGTTACCAGAAAAAAAAAACCCTCAAGAATGTTGAAAACCATTATTTCAGGAAATCATATTTGGTACCTTAAACGGTGTTTGAAATGGACCCTGAATGTCTCACACTGAGGTTCGATGACTTCTTCCAGCTAATCGGTGAAGAAAAATGATCAGCATCATGGAAATGATGACCCTATAATCTTCCTTAGTCTCTTATAAATCTGTTTTGGTGCTGTTTCTTGGACAAAATGAACAGTGGAATAATTAAATAGGTTTGCCAGATGGAAGTTAAACAAGTCTTGCAGTCTTTTCCATTCCAGGGTTGAAAATGTTGAATTTGCAAGTGTTTCAATGAGTCACACTAAATGTTTATGAGATGAATATAGAGAGCAGTGAACATTTTAGGCATTCAGTGATGATTTATGTAAGTGCCTTGGCGCGTATGAGGGAGCGAGAAAGTGGCCGCAATGTAAATAGCTTCGTGCAAAGAAAAGACGGCTGATTATATTCTTCAAAAGAAAAGCGTCTTTAAGGGCTCCCGTACATCCTTAGAAACTTCTTTTCTCTCCCCACGTCCTCCAATTAGTTGGCTGGACTTGTCGTATTTATTTTGTTCAATAGCATACTAGCTCGACCCTTTGATTTGCAAACACTGCCTACACTCGGCGAGAAAAGTTAATTACTTTTCCTGTTGCTTTTGTAACATCACGCTTTAATGTCCAATGTTTGTGGAATTTTCTTGGAATGTCTTAACAATCGCCAATATGGGGGGTGGGGGGGCACGGGGGGACGCGAAATAAAACATTTAAAGAGACTTCAATGCGCACAACAGAAGTGACTGACAAATCCTTTAAGTTACTTGCTAAAGTGATGCACGCTTCAACTCAATTCAATTTTTTAGGAAGACGGGCTCCATAAGAGCATTGAATTGAATCAAATAAACGCTTTATGTATGAGAAAAAAAAAAACAGGCTTATAAAACAGCCTCAATATTTGGAACACAATAAAAGAGCCATATTAAAAACGATGCCCCAGTTTGGATTGACGCGGGGAGGCATTAACAGTGGACTTTAATCTAATAGATGCCTTGTTCCTCGTTAATCAGTGACTATTGATTTATTTATTTTTGCCACACCTCAAATAACAGGATGTGCCACTGGACTACGTTGAGAAAGACATCCGACAACACTACCTGTCGCCGTTGAACACAGAGCAGACTTGGCACCTGTAAAACTGACTTTTGTACCAAACTTTACAAGTTTGACCAAGCTTCCCATCAGTGACTGTATCAAAATAAAATACAAATTGATAAACTTGTACACCTCCTATTTATACCTCATATTTAGACAAGTACAGAGAAAAAAAAGGATGATTTTTGGGGGGGTCGTATTATACACGGGTGCATATTATTCACGGAATTTGACCGTAAATGAAAAATATGTCAACTGAATAAATAAAATACAGAAAGTGCAATGAAAAAGAAATCAAAAAATGTATAAGAAAAAGATTTGCCGATATCATATGCACACACACACACACACACACACACACATATATATATATATATATAAATAAAATTTTTTTTAATCCATTTTTTGGGGGTCCTGACAAGATGGACAAAGTGTGCTGCTGCATCTGTGATGGTGTCGATTAAAAAAAAAAAAAAAGAGGTGTACCGAATGAAGTGTCCCAAGATGAATATTTTTCATTTGCACACTCACTCTCTGGAGGAACTCGCACTTTATGAGGACACCCGGACAAACTTCTGTGATGGGGGTACAGTCCGGTGACGTGACCCGTGCCGTCGCAGCCCGGCGTGGGACACCTGATGTCCCGCTTGTCTGTCCGCGGAGAGTCTGGGGAAACATTTGTTGTTGATTTCATACATTGAAATGATGTGTTTTGCTACACCAAGTAGTACAAAAAGGAATTTGTAGTAAGGACGTATTGGATACGAGCCAAGAGATTGAAATATCAACGCGGGCACTTTTTTTTTTTCTTTATGAAAAGCATCTATTAATTTGTCCTTTTAGTTAAGGCTGTAGTTGAACACACTTCTTAATGCCCGACCATGGAAAGATTACACGGAGGATTACACATTTAGCCATGGTCATTTGAAGAATCCCGCGGAAACATGAGAGGTACTTTAGCAGGATTTGAGACTTATGGTCATGGTTAAATATCCACTTGATTCCTATCAAAATCCAATATTCGGAGTAGTTGCAATTTCGCTTTATTATTATTATAAGTCTGTTTATGTATTACTTGACTTGTTGCCAAAATGTTTAAGCGGTAAAGAGGATTTCAAGCTCTGATTCCTCTCAATTTCTTTTTGTAATTCTCTTTGCTGCTTTATGAGTGCGCAATCGACACGCATTCCTTTTCTGTGAGGCTGGACAGCCTGTTCATCCATATCAATTTTATGGAGCCTTTACTAAATGTATGAAAAAAATAGGGTGCAACATTTGAACAACAACTGCAGTATACTTGATGAGTGGGCCCAATTTAAAAAAAAAAAAAATAGATTTCTTGAGTAAAACAATGGTAACTTACTGCGAAAATATTTCATAATATTACATATATTTTCTTAGTAAATTAAGAGAATACAAAACAGCACAATATTATGAATATGATGTATTAAAATAAAAATAGAAGACCATGTATTCCATTATTAATAATAATTACTTGGGTATAATTTTTTGTATTTGTTTTTTCTTTTTTCTAAGGGTTAAATAGCAGACTGGATTTACAGAATTACTTTGGGACTTATATGCATTTTGAAAAATCATTTGTCACAAAATGTTCATGCCTACTTTATGATCAGATTAAAAAAAAGGAGTAAATGATTCTGACTCTGGCAACCCACGAAAAATTATGCCATGACCCATGTTGGACCGAACCCTCCGTTGAGTAACCGTAACGCTGCTAAGGTGTTTCTATGCACGTGTTTCAGTATGGTACACTCAGGGCCCTATTTTGATAGACAGATGCACGTGAATCTTCATGTTTGTGCTGTGGCAAGTCTAGTTTACAATGTTTGGTAATTTGGCAAACACGTTGCGCCTCGCTACGCGTTCGGCCGGACCGAGAGGTTTCCTCTGACACGCCCCCAGTGCACCTGACAATTTGGTGACAGAAAGTAGACTACACTTTAGAACAACTAAAAGCAGGTCGAAGTTGTAGCGCGGGTAGTGTAATATGATTTTAGTGTATTTGACAGACAGATCCTGAGCTGAGACTTGAGTTGGGCACAAAAATAGCACCCTCAGTCTTACCTTTGCCTGAATGGCAGCTGATCCTGTTGTCCATGTCCATCATGCGCTGATGCCGCCTCTCATTGGTCATCTGCTCCATGAGGAAGCGGTCCATCTCGCGGTAGGCATGATGCAGGACCTGCCTCTGTTCCGTCTGCAGGGCAATGGCCTGCTCCAACAGGCTTAGATTGACTCTGCCGTGGCCCACTTCCAGGCCTCTCTGGTGGAGGTGGTCCAGCGCCCAGCCCTCCAGCCGCGGGGGTCTCTCCACCTCCATGTCGCTGTCTCGCTCCTCCTCCACCTCCTCCGGCCTGTATCTCTGGAAAAGGCCTGAGCTCAGGTCCGGTTGAGGTTCTTCCTTCAGGGGTGAAGGGTCGTCACAGATTCCGGAGGGGCTCAAGCCGTTCGTTTTTGCGGAGAGGGCCCACCGAAGCTCCCTTGGGCTCTGCGGGGATGACGACCCGCTTAGCCTGTCCTGACTTTGGTCGTCCTCTGCTTCTTCTTCATCGTCGTCGTACATTTCTGGCGTGCTGACCTCGCGCTGCGGCGAACCCTCAGGCGTCACCTCCGACCACCCCAGTGAATCGTTGGAGCGGCCATTTCTGTCCGGCGCGCCATTGATTGGACTCAAGTTTCCATCTAAAATAACATAAACATTCAGTAGTTACTTTATAAGACATTTTTTGGGGCGTGGGGGGGGGGGGTCAATAACAGGTAAAAAATAACACCCGCATATATGGACTGACCAATAGTATAGATTGGTGAAAAAAAAAATTGTAATGACACATTTCATACGTTATAATATTTTTTGAATGTATGTTCTAAATCACCTTGCAGGCCATGGCACACTTCGGACATGCCCCGTTTTCAAGGAACAAAACCGCTCAACCACGGGAAAATAATTTGGATGTAATCTTCCAAAATCCTTTTAAGGTTTTAGAACTTGTGTGACTTTTCCAAATAATACCGTGAGAAAAACATGTTATTGTGAAGAACACATGTAACAGCGTAAGGTTGCGGGATTCTCAAGTAATTACTCACGCTAAGTATATTTTAGATTTATGTTTTTTCATTTTTGGGTTTTCCTCGTGGTCTGAACATGAAAGCCCAAATTGAGGAACTCAATTTGTTTTGCTTCCATCCTCTTTTTGTCTGGCGAAACAAAGATTGAAGATGAAGATTATGGGGGATTTACAGTACATTTAAAAAAAAATAAAATAATTAGTTATGTGTTTTTATGATGAAGCCAAGCAGCAACATGTTGTCATCTGCTCAAACACAGATGTCAAAACATCAAATCTGGGAGAAGGAAAGTGAAGATTCCTGAAGACAAAAATGGAATCGGATTATGTTGTTGTTGTTTTAAAAAGGGAATGAAATGCTACTAGTTGTTGACTTTCCTCGTACATGTTGTTATACTAATTCCGTGCAGTTTTATATTCCCAAACACTGAGTGGGAATTGAATTCACGCTGCCTGCATAGAAGTCAGGCTGGAATGAATCTATGCGCTATCAATGACTTTGTATGATTTGATCTTTGTAAACTTTCATCTTTATTCTGGCAACAGCACATACGTTTTCTTGAACAAAATTTTCAGGGTCAAGTGTGAAGTAATTTTTAAAATCCCAAACAAAATATGTTTTTATGTCACAAGTAATTAAACAAAATACATTAAATAAAGCATGAAAAAAGAATTTATATTTCGTGAATTTGACAAAGTAACCGTTTTACTGAAGTGAGAACCTGACAAACGACAAATCTGGAAGTATGACGTCACTTCAAGACAACAATAGCGGGGCTCACGATGGAACGTATACAAAGGCTATATAGGCTGCAATTATTAGCCTAGCATTATTGTTTGCAATTTGATGCTGTGCTGTGTTCTAAATTGTCCCCGATTGGATTACCTACTTGTTCCATGGATTCCCGCTAGCACTGAGAGCACACGTCATAGTAGGTTGGTGTCGTACATTGTCATTGCTAAGGTACTTCTGTTGCGTTTTCGGCCACTCCGCACATTATATCGGCAGTATTGTTAGTCCATCCATGCACTCATATAATTTGAATGTTTTCGTACAGGACTGCATCCATGAACACGTATAATACTTTGAATCGAATGTTGACATAAACAACAACCAGAGTTATTCATTGATTAGCACAGCTACCTTTTTTGCAAATCCGGTTGAGAAAACAGAATAGTTGCATCGTTCCAATTTTCTGGTCCATTTACGTGCCCTATTTTTTTCTTTTGGTTACTCAAACAACTGTTTGCCTGAATGTGTCCAGTGCATTGCCACACAGTGGCGAAGTATTTCGCCGAATAATTCGATAACAATGGCAAAGAGCAGTTAACGGGACAATCTGTTATGTTTGTCTGGTAACAGTTGGTTTTGTTTCCTCATGTGCCCTTTTTGTCCCCACCTGTTCTCCTTATCAGTGTCCCTTGTGTTGAACCAATCAGCTCCCTCAAGTCTTTGTGTCTTGTCTCGGTGTTTCTCGTTGTCTCGTCACTTTACTTGTATTTAGTTCCCTGAGTTCTGTCAGTCTTGTTTGGGTCATTGTGAGTTGTGAGTGTCAGTATGTGACTATACGTTTGCTCCTGTCATGTTTTTTTTACTGTTATTGTTTTGTTTGATACTTTGCTTCCTCGTGATTTCCAGGCATTTTTTGAGTACTTCGACTTGGTGTTTTTTTCCATTGTACTCCTGTGTGTATTTTTGTTAAATACATTTTGGTCAGTCCACCCTGCTCCTCCCTGCCTCCCTGCTTTTTGGGGTCCTCCCTGCACTACCACCACGCAAACATGACAGAATGACCCAACCAGATTGGACCCCACAGGACCAGAGGCCTATTCCCACTGCCACCCCTTCATATCCCCGGCGAGGCAAGTGTTGCGTCGCCCTCCGTTCCTGTTTCCCGGCGATGCAAGGGTTGCCGTCGCTATTGTTCCCGTTCCCCGGCGAGGCAAGGGTTGCCGTCGCTTTTGTTCCCGTTCCCCGTTCCCCGGCGAGGCAAGGGTTGCCGTCGCTTTTGTTCCCGTTCCCCGGCGAGGCAAGGGTTGCCGTCACCCTCCGTCCCTGTTCTCGGCGAGGCAAGGGTTGCTGTCGCCCTCAGTTCCTTTCCCCGGCGAGGCAAGGGTTGCCATTGCCCTGAGTTCCTGTTCCCGGCTTGGCACGTGTTGCGCCCCGCCCTCCGGCCCACCCTGTTTCCGCTGAGTCAAGCCGCTGGGTGACTTTGGGATGTCTGGGATCCGTCCCTTGAGGGGGGGTACTGTTATGTTTCTGTCTGGTTACGTTTGGTTTTGATTCCTCATGTGCCCTTTTTTCGCCACCTGTTCCTGTTATCAGTGTCCCTTGTGTGAAACCAATTAGCTCCCTCAACTCTTTGTGTCTTGTCCAGGTGTTTCTCGTAGTCTCATCACTCTGCTTGTATTTAGTTCCCTGAGTTTTGTCAGTCTTTGTTTGGGTCATTGTGAAATGTGAGCTGTGAGTATGTGAGCATATGTGTGCTCCTGTCATGTTTTGTTTTCTGTCTTAGTTTTGTTTGTTCCTTGTGATTTCCAGGCATTTTTTGAGTACTTCGACTTTGTGTTTTTTCCATTGTACTCCTGTGTGTATTTTTTGTTAAATACATTTTGGTCAATCCACCCTGCTCCTCCCTGTCTCCCTGCTTTTTGGGGTCCTACTCCGACTACCACCACGCAAAACTTGACATAATCAACGCATTACGATGGCTGACTGTGGCAAGTCGGCATTCTGTAAATGACGTCACTCGCAGGAGACCTACCTGCAGCACGCAGGATGATGGGGTTAGGTTTGCTTCCTGATTTATTTATTTTTAACGTTAAAACGGCTGGCATAGGTTCCAGCACGCCCACAACCCTCGTGAGAATAAGCAGCTCAGATAAAAGATGGATGGATTACATTGAGCGCAATTTCTATTGATATTGTTCAGGTGTCAATCGCGATATACATTGATTGTGGATTATTGCCCAGCCCAAAGTGAAATGTGCTTCAGAATCACATTTAAAACTGTGCATGACAATGTTTATGTCCAAACAGAAAATGAATGCAAAAACCTAAACTTGCCTCTTTAATTTCAACATGGAATGACAGCCTATGGTACTTAATGTCAGGAAATGCACTCTGTCCAATATATTTGTTTCTTCATCACATGGCTGCCATGAACAATGTCCTAAAAACTACAAAGCAAACGCCAGCCTTTAAGACAATTTTATTTTATTTATGTATTTATTCATTTATAGACCCACTGTTTCAAATGACCCAGTAACATTCAACCCACAAACGGTCACATTATGTAATGGCCGTCGGTGGATTTGTGTTGTCTACTTATTAGAGGCACATATTTTATTTGACAGATTTTAAAAACCTTTTTGCCTGGATTAATTTTTACATTTTGACCCATTTAGCAAGTTTGCTAATTCCTGTGTTTGTCTCATCATCATCCTCATTATCTTCGACATCATCCATCCATCCATCCATCATTCCTGTGACCTGATTCATCCATTGAATCCTACTTTTTGCATTGCTCTCGTTCTGTCTGGCCACTTAAGAGGATAGAAAGTTAAAAAAAAAATTAAAAAAAGCCAAAGAGCCTTAACAGAGCATAAGTTTGAAGCGTTTGAGAGGATCAAGGGAGATTTGATGGAATCAATCCAGCTGATAGCCTTGCATTGTTAATCACTGACTAGCACTTGAGAGACACGACTGGTGTTAATAAGGGGTTGTTTCGCGGACGTTTGAGAGGATGACTCTAACCCTCTTTAGCAGACTTTAACATGGCTGCGGCGCACAGCCCTAAGACCATGCCAGTGAACTGACTGGAGGCAGACAACCTCCAGTACGTATATAGACAGGAGTGGACTGTGGCCAAATTGTGTTCTTGTAATGAGCCACATGACACGACATCTTACAATGCCATCCACAAAAAGTATTGCCACTTGCATTGCATTCATCCATTTCCGAGCGCGCTTGTCCTCATGGAGTCGCGGGGGAGCTGGAGTCTTTCCCAGCTGACTTTGAGGAGGGACGGACTCAGTGACAGGCAGTCACAGGGCAAATAAAGAGTCACATTCACACCTGTAGACTATTTGGAGTTTTAAATGAACCTAGCGTGCATATTTTTGGAATGGCGGAGGAAGCCAGAGTACAAGGAGAAAAACCCGTGGAAGAACATCATGCAAAGTCCACATAATTAGATTTGTATTTGGAACCTCAGAGCTGTGACGAGGCAGATGTCCCCTTAAGCACTGTGCTGCCCTCCTTTACTTTATAAATGTAGCCAAATAATATAACAGGAACAAAATTTGCCCCTACATTTTTATATCAACGTTTTTCTTGAAAAAAGAAATCACGTGCACAGAAATGACACTGAGGAACAAATTCATTTTTTTCAGGCAGCGTGTTCAGGAAATGCAATACAAAAAAATAGATTAACATTCTGCGCTTCTTTTCTGGATTTCTTTCTTTTATAAAATTCTGTATGAATCACAAGAAATTGTGATATCATTCCACATTTGCATTGATGGATAGCAACACAGGTACCACTTTCTGGATTGTGACATTTATTAGGAATATAAAGTAAGATAAAATATTTCATCCATTTACAAATCATGATGGCTGAACAATTTGAAGAAATAACCTAATTGTGGTATTTGTTGTTGCTGTTGTTTTAATATTGTGATTGCAATTTCATGTGTGATTATTTTTTTTGTCCTTGTATTGAAAAAATCCAAGCAATAAATTGCTTGGTATTACAATAAACTATATCAGAACTTCTCTACATGAATGTTATGAGTTAGGCTGACTCTGAAATAAAGAAAACTTGACAAAAGTCTACCCAACGAACATGGGGGAATTTGTTTTGTTTTTAATTGCATGCTTTGCAACTTGAAAATTGCATTCTACCACTTTGTTGATTGTTCATCCCTATTTTTAATTTTTTTTCAATTTTTTATTTTTTTTTTAATGTCGGCGATTAAAAAGACCTCCCCAAAAATGTACGCCTGTGATCTGTATTTGATTATATTCTACAGATGGCCTTAAAAGTACCGTATGTTGCAAAGAAAAAAAAAAAACAACAGCCAGTAACATGTATTTACATTCATGCAGTAGGCGAGCGAGCGGGGTATTGTTTAGCATCCAGCTGGACACACACACACACACACACACACACACACACACACACACACACACACACACACACACACACACACACACACACACACACATACACACACATACACACACATACACACACAGTGAAACAGCAGAGAAAGAGGAAAAAAACAACTTGGATCCGGCCATGGTTTGTGTGTTGGAGCAGGTGAAGAGTTGTCACTCCAGAATAGCCATTAGCAGCACTCTGCAGCAGGCCTGCACTTGGCTGTAGCTGAACACAGCGCGACGCCACCAAAACAACAGCCTGATTTTGACGCCTTCCAACGCGGCCACCGAGCGCCTTTCCCCCTGCTGCTAACATTCTCGCTGTCGCTCTCATTTTGAACAGGAAGTGCAACGCAAATGTCTCAAAAAAATGTCCTGGAGAACCTAACAAAACAAAAAAAAAAACATGATTCATCCCGGCGGAAATCGCGTTTTTTTTTCCCCCACATGATCATGTAATGTGAACCCTGCATGGAAACAAATCAATTCCATTTCCAGTCGGCTCCTCTCGCGGTCCATTTAAAGGACACGCGCACACGCGAATGTGTCCTATAATGAGCTGTGGACATTATGCCTAATTATGTATTAGACTGTGTTGCGGGGCTTAACAAAAGCTTTTGAAAAGGGACAATTACGTTTGTTGCTTGGATACATCGTTAAAAATATACCAAATCAGGGCGGATTACAGTGGGCGAGAATGCACGTGTTCACCAAAATGGACAAAACTCAAGTCATCAAAGGGGCGAAAAAAATACTTTTTTTTTCTCTAGTCTCTGACAAAAGACAAAATATAAACACACAAAGTGTTGCTGATGATGCGTGTTGGTGAAGAGTTCTGCCTGCCAGTCCTACGACGACTAATTCGTTCTCCGCCACTTGAATTGGAACTGAATTGAGAAAGGATGGAGGGAGTCTCATTTGAATCAGAGTGAACTGGCGCCGGCCTCCGTTCACGGTCTCATTCTATGGACTGAATGGCTTTGGACCGGCCCATTCAAGAACAGATGAGGGGGTCGGCAAACAAGCTGGCCCCAAGCAAAGAGGGTGGCGCCAAGTCGCCACCATCGCAGCCGATCGGCTGTCAAAAACTCGCGTTGATTCCGCCAGACGCGACTAATGTGGCCGGTGCGCAGTGCACAATGAGCGCGGCTGCTGTTGATGCCGCTGCTGGTTGGCTGGCTCGGCTCGCGCGAGGGGAGGGGAGGCAAATATGAATGCAACAGATGGGATTTTAAAATTCAGCGTGAATTGTTCATCAAAACAACAGGACATCTGTTTACCTGCTGGAGTGTCGGCGCTCCTCGCCGCTTCTTTGTGCCGCCGCGGCGCTGGGTCCTCGCTCTCCTCATCGCAGGCCTCGCTGGGGCTGTAGTGGCGCGGCTTCATCAGCAGGGACTTCCGCTTGTTGATGGGGGCGCCCTGCACCCCGTCCTGAGCGCTCCGCTTACGAACCGATGACCCATACTGGCTGCAGGCAAACAGTTGTTATTTATTGTTCATTGCCC